CTGATCCTTGTGTTCAGATGTGGGTATTTTACTTGTTACTCATTGGATGAAAGGATCCAATTTATGGCTGGTTTTGCTATAGTTGTTTTCCCAGACTAAAGTGAATATTCTTCAATTCCTCAGAAAGGAAACATACAGTTTTCCAGTATGGAAGAGTGGGAAGGAAATTTAAAAAGTCCTTCTAATATCACCAAAGAAATGCCATGTAAGCTGTATCCAGTAACTTATTCCAGGCCAGGAGGCAGGAAAAATTACAATCATTGCATTATAGAAACTAGAAAGAAATTCATTTCTTCCCAGAAAAATAATAATCTTTCATTTTCTTTAGAATATCCAGAAGGTCCTCTCATGAGAACACACTAAAGCATCTCAGAAAGAGCCATGGATCACTGTTATTAAGTCAATACAGCATTAACCAAATCAAGAGTCAAAAGATGGAGCTTTTCACCCAAAGTCCCAAGAAGATAACATTCCTGTCATAATCCCCTAAGGAAAAGGGTGGAAGGAGTGAACTTTAGCCCATCCCAGGTGTTTCTTTCCAAATTAGCCAATGCTACTTTTATTCACCTGGTCTAATAGTTCTGCTAGTGAACAAAAACCTGATTTTACAGGCCAGTGGAGCAGAGTCTATCTTTTGCTAGAAGAATGGGCCTCTGCTAGTGTGTTTTATTTCTTCATTAGTGTGCCGTCACAATGAGTGCTCACTAAATGCAGGGCTGAATAAGAATGCTGGGGTTAAAGAGAGCATAATGAACAAAGAAGGGGCCTGATTACCATGGCTGTCAGCACAAGGGAATTGGGTTTGTCACCTGGCTTAACCAACTGGGAAGAACTGATTAGAGTCTGAAATCAGTTTGAAAAGATTCCTCCCCTACATGTTGAAGCCTCCCTTCATCTCTGTAGCTTGTCAAGAGAGACTGACCGTGGAGGCAGAACAGGGCAGTGGAAAGGACGCTGGCCTATGAGGCAATGACTTAGGTTCTGACCCCGGCTTCTGCTACTAACTAGCTGAATGACCTTAGTTGGGCAAATTAGGTCATCTCTCTGGGCCTCAGTTTCCTCATCTGTAAAAGATGGAGATTAATGGAAATTACCTAAAAAAGTTCTAAAAGGGGTGTGTGTGTGTGTGTGTGTGTGCGTGTGAGAGATAGATTTCACTGACTTCAGAAACTCTCAATGAGGAGGCTCCCTCCACCAAAGCAGCATCTGCTTTGCAACTTACAGACTTACCAAGACGTCTGGGACAAAGAGGTTAAATGACTTGCTCAGGTTCACATAGTTAGTGCGTGTCAATGACAGAATTTGAATTCAGGTCTTCCTGACTCTAAGACCAGCACTCCTTTCACTACATAATGCTTCTTCTCTAATGAATGCTTTATGATTATGCTTAATTAATGCTTAATGCTATGATTCTCATAATCATGAGTAGGAAACTTCATTCAGGAAGAATACTGGCATAGGAAAGAAGTAGAGTGAATAGTGGATAGAGAACCAGCCTCAGAAGTGGAAAGAACTGGGTTAAAGTCTTGCCTTTGACATGTACTAGCTGTATGACCCTGGGTGAGTCACTTAACCTATTAGTGTCCCAGGAAACTCTCTAAGGCTATAACTTATAGATATGTTTGCATAGATAAAAGGAGTTTTCACACTGGCAGCTTCTCAAAATTTATCAAATTGCAGGTCTAGACAACAAGAACAAAAAAAAATTGAAGAGGGGGTATTTTGATGAACATCCTATCCTCTGAAACAACTAGTAAGTTTAAAGTAAAGGCAGAGACACAGTGGTGATTGCCTGTAATCCCTGCTGCTGAGAGAACCTGGGATCACTTGCGCTTGGGAATTCTGAACTGCAGTGGGCTAAAGCAGATAGGGTGTTCACATTAAGTCTGGTGCCAATATGGTAAGCCCTGGAGATATAGGGACAAGGAAAGGAATCAAGTTGCCTCATCAGGTCCAGGTCAGAAATAGAACAAGTCAAAGTTCCTTTACCAATTACTATTGAGATCAGGCCAATGAGTGGCCTCTGCACTGTACTACCTGCCAAGGAAGACCCAGTCTTAGACAGAGAGATGATGCATTGAGATGGAGACTGAGATTGAAAAAGAGATTGATGATAGACTAAGATAGAGATCGATAGTGGGTGACAGATGAGAGAGAGAGAGAGAGAGAGAGAGAAGAAAAATGAAGGGAAGTAAAGTAAGGTAAGGTAAAGTAGGATAAAAATAAAGATGGTGCCTAAGAAGGAAAAATCCAAAGCCTAAAGGTAAAGGATGGGGCTGTGTAGTCCATTACTGACTCTGCCACTAACTATTGAAGAAGTCAAGTACCTTCCCTGTTATAGGAGTTCCCTCGTTTGTAAAATGAGCCCAGATCATTCCACCCTCACAGGAGATTTTAAGAGCCTTAATTAGTTAATGTTTGCCAAGTGCTTACAGACCCTTAGATGAAAAGACCTATAAAATCAACCAGAAAGAGGAAGTGAGTGTGATTCCAAAGAAGTAAGTGACAGGGACGCTGCTGCAGGGAGTCAGATGGGACCGGCTTCTTGTGTCCACTCCAGACTGTGACCAAAGACCTTAACTTAGCAACGGCAGCGTGGACATGCTTCACAGCCACCAGACTCTGAGGCATGAACTGACATATGAACAAAGTCTCAACTTCATCAAGTCCAGGGAGATTTTTCCCATGAAGAGGGACCAACAAGAAAAAGGAATGAAACCTAGCTCATTTATTGTCATGGATCTTTCACTAAGGAAGAAAGAAGAGAGCTCAGTCCTCCCCATGATGAAACTCATCTTTTATTCTATTCAGTGACCACAAGTGCTTTTACTCTGACCTTTTATTTTTTGGGGGGGGGGGCAAGCCATGTGCCAAATCTCAGAATGAACTTTGAAATTGCAAAAACAATGATTAGTTTTCTTTTCTTGCTTGAATCTCACTTAGCAAATCGGATGATAATTTCTCCAAAAATAATGTTTATAGGCTCTGCTAACACTTCTTCAATGAGCATGATCAGTGCCTTATGTATCACATATAGAAGTCAAATGAATATTGCTTGAACTGAATATCTCCAATGTTCTTGTGATTTGAGCAACTGACTGCTGAAAAGATTAGACGATGAATCTAAGTTGCCTTGATTACATGATTAGTATAAGATCATTCTCTACACTAGTCAGCAGATCCTGGAATCACAAGGAGGAAAGTATGGAAAAGGGAAATACAATGTCATCCTCTCACCAAACAATCAATTCTATGGGGTTAATGGTGCAGTGGAGCTCAGGACAGGACTGGAATTGTGTGTTTGGGATTTAGAAGGAGGAGAGGTTTCTATGTGATGAGAACTTTGAAAAGCCTAAGTTTTTTTTTATTTACTTATTATTATTACTCCCATTATTTAGATAAAAGATTCTTATGGTCTCAAGTTATTTTTAATTGTAAATATCTCCTGGAAAGGTATCACAAAGGTAAGGGAGTGGTATGGAAAGGAGAAAAGGAGAATTAGTCCATGAAAGCCAGTTACTTAGAAGAGCCTAGGGAAGGAGACACTGAAAAGGTAAATTTTGATAGAAGTATGGAAAGAGAACAGATTGAAATATGGAGCCCTAGTCAATGAGGTAAGGCCAAAGTAATGTGACTAAGAGGGAACAGCATGAGAATCTGAGGCAAGTGATACTGGGAAAGGGGCACCAGAAGTGGGGGAAAAAGGGAGAGAGATAGAGAGAGAGTGACAGAGAGAGACAGAGAGAGAGACAGAGACAGAGAGATGGGAATGTTATTTGTCATTTGAGGTTGCTCTAGACCAGGGAAGGCCCCTAGATTCTCCCCAATCTGTAACAACTACAGGGAGACAAGATTAACTCTAATTTATTTCTAGCCAGGAAGAACTTCATGAAGTCAGGAAAAGTTCAGAGCCAAGCTGTGCATTCAGAACTATCCCATTTGTATTCTGAATGGCCGGCCTTTGGGGCTCCTGTATTCTGCTCCCCAGTTCTCTGAGCGAGCACCTGATTATCTTGGAGAATGTCCTAAATGTTATTGCAGCTACCTGGGGAAGCCCAGAGAAGACTCCCAATTACAAAATAGTCATCTGCATGGTTGTGGTTTCCTCTGGCAGGGAAGGGTTGGGCAAGGCAACAATATGTAACAGGCAAAGCAGAATTGCCACATCACAGTAATAATAAACTATATTAAACTATATAGCTATAATAAACTGTAGAGCTATATTCCATAATGTGCTCTCCCCAGTCCTGGGCTGTATCTCCCTCTGAGTCTATGCAGGGCATAATATGCATAGATAGAGTAACTCTGTCCCTATCCACGGTAGGGATTTCTTCACTCCTCCATTCTAATGGCACAGCATAAGTGTATGAACAAAGAGATAGGCTGTACTTTAATAATGATGGTCCCAACGATAACCAGAGTTCCCATTTAAATTTATATTGTTCCTTTCCTCCAAAGGGCTGCTAGGACTTTTATATATATAATCCCATTCACATAACCTTGCTCTATACGTGTTTCTCCCTAGCTGTCAAGAGTATTGAGCGTCTTGGATGGAATGGCAAAGCAGCTTATAAATTCAAATCTTCAGCCCTAATTGCACCATCAGATGCCCACAAAAAGATCAACTGGAACTCCCTCCACAAAGTGTTCTGCTGTCAGGATGTCCATTTGAAATGAAACCAGAACAGTGAACCAGATCCTCTCATTTCCATCAGCCATTATCCTGCTGTTATTGAGAGGAGGAGGGGACATAAGGGGGAGAGATAGCTCTGATCTAATTTATCCACTGCAGGGTGGCCATGCTGAGAGAAGACCTGGTATTGCCCAGTACTGCCCCTCAGAGTAACCAACAGGGCAAGAAGATGAATGCAAGCTCCTGGCTCTGTTTGTCTCCCTTCTCAAACGGAGATATTGTTGTTGTTTATTTTCCCCTCTAGGCATGATTGAAGCAGAGCAGGACAAGAGATGGAATGGTACTGGGAAAGAAGTGTTCAACTTACGAGTGCAGGGCATGGAAGCTGCATCATCCTCTGCTCGAAAATAGCCTCGGTCACAGGTGCAGGAGGTGGCTCCCTCCCAGACGGAGTAGCTGTGGGGCGGGCATTTGGCACAGGCAGTATCAGTGGAAAGGGCCTTGTAGTATCCAATCTTGCAGGCTGTAGGGGTGGAAGGGAAAGGAAAAACACCAGACATTTGGATCATGATTACAGCAGAGAGTAGTAACACATACCAGGGTCGTCTTCGTGATGGGGAAGAAAGCCTAGAGTTTGGCCCCAGGTATGATACGATCAGACTTATAAAGGCTGATCACTATCACCATCTCAGGGGTGCCGACATGCCTACTCATAGCCAAATCTCCTTCAGCACTGGCAGTGGCAACTCTAAGCAGATTCTTCAGTCAGAAAGTCTCCTGCCTCTACACAAGTCCATTTCCATTCTCTCTGTCTCTGTCTCTCTCCTCTGTCTTTCTCCCTGCCCTGCTCCCACTCTCCCTCTCCCCTTTTCTTGTTCACTCTCCATGTCTAAAACCAAAGTTAATATTGCAGACTGAAGCCATGATTTTAGTAGTGGGAAGTGGACTTGAACCTTCCACCCACCTCAACAATCTGTGAAACATGATATACCACATTCTACCTGTTAGAAAGAAAGGAAGGAAGGAAGGAAGGAAGGAAGGAAGGAAGGAAGGAAGGAAGGAAGGAAGGAAGGAAGGAAGGAAGGAAGGAAGGAAGGAAGGAAGGAAAGAGAAAGAAAGAAAGAAAGAAAGAAAGAAAGAAAGAAAGAAAGAAAGAAAGAAAAAGAAAGAAAGAAAGAAAGAAAGAAGGAAAGGAAGGAAGGAAGGAGGGAAGGAAGGAAGGAAGGAGGGAAGGAAGGAGGGAAGGAAGGAAGGAAGGAGGGAAGGAAGGAGGGAAGGAAGGAAGGAAGGAAAGAGAAAGAAAGAAAGAAAGAAAGAAAGAAAGAAAGGAAGAAAGAAAGAAAGAAAGAAAGAAGGAAAGGAAGGAAGAAAAAGAAAGAAAAGAAAAGAGCATGTCCTGTCCCCTCCCTGCCCCACCCAGTTCACTGCCCTTCCTGGCCAGAAACAGAGCTGATCCAAAGAATATATACCATAGACCTCTTTGTACTATTGGCAAGCTTTCCCTGACATCAGCTTTATAAACATCATGTTGATGCCAGTGGCTGCACACAGCTCACTGTGTGAGAGGGAAAAACTCACTATTAATATTGACATAATAATTTTTTTAAATTAATGTGGTTAATACAAGGCCCTGCCCTTTCCTTGCTCTCTGGCCCCTTTCCCTCCCCTTTTTGAATTGTGTCAAACTTGAATTATCTCCCTGGCCTGAAATAAAAACTGACTAACTTTTAGAAGCAAGGAAGGAAGAAGAAGGGGAAGGGGAAAGAGAAAGGAACAGGTAGGAAGGAAGGAAGGAAAAAGGGAGGCAGATACACAAGCAGTCATAACATGACACATCCATAAGAGCATCTCTGATTTCTATGATAAAATGCAGGCCAAGATGGTCAACTACTAAAGATGACTTGACAAGCCTGCTAGCATCATTAGCTTCCAAGATTCAAAGAAAAAGCAAAAATGAATGGATTTTGAAAAGCCCAGTTATTCCATGAGATCAGAGAACAAAAAGAATGGCAGTCATCCTTAAAATTGTCTGTACAATTCATTTTTATTTCTTTTCTTACCCTTTTAAAGACTGTCTCTTAGATTGTATCCATATAACCAAAAATACCAACCGGGAAAAAAGTGTCAACCAGCTGCTTTCCATCATTTTGGCAACAACTAAAGCAGACCCAGCCACTGCTGTTGCTACCCATTCACCAGATTGCACTGAAGCCACCTGATAAAGAAATCCTGAACAAGAATGATTTGATTCAGTGGTTCCACATAGACCTAGCCACAGTCATCCCAGCATTACTCATGCACCAAGCAGGCATCACTGTGGGTTTCAATTCAAAGCCCATTCCTCTCTCATGCACATCCTGTTGGTATTTCATTAATCATGCACTGGTCATGGTGAGCGGAAAGAGAATTTAGTAAAAGTGCAAGGAAGACATCGTAACTTCACTCTTATTAACCGTAGTTGTTTATGGAATTTCCTCTAAGAAGCTCAGACTTTATGATGTGTGTAGCCCTGACAATAAACTTGCTAAGGGATCAATCTCTCTCATTTGCTTTGTTTTTCACTGGACCAGAGAATCTTAGAAAACAGGTTGCTCCAGTGACTAAGATTTATGTTTCTAGAGTTTATACACATCACATAATTAGATAAGGTTCAACTTGCAAGGTGCCTTTTGGCTGGGCTTAAACTGGCCTGAGGGGTTCGATTTAAATCAGAAACCGCAGCTCCGGCAGGAAGAAGCAGAGCGGGTCAAGCCTAGCCTTCCCACATCAAACACAATAACTCCCTGAACACCAATGCAAACCCACTGTGCAGAGCCTGTCACTCAGTCAGGCCCAGTAAACAAAGGCAACTTGTCTAAGACTGGTTACTGTGCTCCTGTTGGAGGGGCTCAAGCAAACAGGCCAAAATTACTTTTATTTTATCTTCTTTCCCCTCTTTTACATCTGAACAACAATGTGTGAGGAAAGCCCTGTTCACCTCTGACTGGCCTTCATGTTCCCGAAGAGCAATCAAAATTAAAATCTAAAAATCCACAGATGGAAGGAAAAGATGCTGCTTTATTCCGATCTGACATCATGAGCTAAAACTATAGGACTTTGAAGTCATACCCAGGTCAACTGGATTTCTACTTCTAGTTGATCCATATTCCCATGAATGAATGAACAAATAAATGAATGAATGAATGGATAGAAGGAAGAATGAATAAGTAAATGAATGAATAGATAAAGATAGATAGATAAATAGATAGATAGATAGATGGATGGATAGATCTATAGATACAGGTATGGAAGGATGGATGGATGAATGGATGGATAGATAAATGAATGAAGCACAAAAGTATGTGATGCACAGACACGTAAATTTCCATAAATTTTGAAGCCAGAGACAGAGTTCCAATGTATAAGGAAACAAGCATATGTGAAGCACCTACTATGTGTCAGATACTGGGCTAAGCACTTTCTAAATATTATCTCATTTGATCCTTACTACAACCTTTTTCCAGTTTTAAGAGGAGATGGTCATTGGTGGTTGTTCTTAATAATATTTAATGAAAATGAAAGAACTAAAAGAGAAAAGGGAGCTTTGGATATCTTTCTTCTATTGTTCCACCTCATGTTTCCCTTGCCTCCTCCTAGTCCTCATTGTTGACACTATTACATCATCGTTAATACCAAGAACAAACTAAACCAATGTAATCCAATAAATATTTATTCTTCTTTCTATGATTCAGTGTAAAAAGTGCTAGGTTAAGAGTCAGAGGACTTGGATTTGAATCACCCTAGTGTTTACTACCTGTGGTGACCCTGAAAAAAATCACTAAAACTCTCCAGGTCTCTTTTTCCACATCGGTGAAATGAGGGGATTGGAATAAGTGACCTCTAAGATTCAGCCCAGCTTTAAATCTGTGATGCTATGTGTAAGGAGAAAGGAGAAAAATAAACAATTAGTAAGTAGCTACTATGTTTCAGATACTGTGCTAAATTCTCTCTCTTTTATGTATCTATATCTATATATATTTACACATATACATTATATATATATATAAAATCCCTTTATAAATATAGCAATATATAAGCACTATAGCATTATATGTGTGTGTGTGTGTATGTGTATGTGTGTATACATATACATAGATAGATAGATAGATAGATAGATAGATAGATAGATAGATAGATAGATAGATATAAAATCATCTTTTATCCTCACTATAATCTTGGGAGGTAGGGCTATTATTATCCCCATTTTGCAGATGAAGAAATGAAATAAAGGTGAAGTGACTTGCCTAGGATCACATAGAAAGTAAGTGTCTAAGGATGGATTTGAATTCAGATCTTCCTAAGTCCAAGTCCAACACTGAATCCACTGGGAACTCAGCTGCATTTAGGTGCTACTCAATACAAAAGGAAACAAAAAATTATTTCTTTCCTCTCTAAACATATCATGTACTGCTCCATGCAAGTGCAGGACTACAGGTAAAATGTCTATCTGCTGTGGTTAAATGTTCTGAAGTACCCCTTTTCACTCTTTGATTTTTATTTTTAAACCAAAGGAGGTACAATTCTGGTTCTCTTAGCAGCCCCATCCCACCTTTAAGTTCAGCGCCCCGTGCTTTTGTCTTCTGCTACATGAAGATCTGTTGTTGACATTTTGGGACCTTAAACCACATCTCTCACTTTAGATGCTGGGGGTGGCGTCCAGGGCGTACAGCTTTTTTGCTTTCTTTAGTAGGTCTTAAAACATTTTGCTGTATCTTTTAGCCTAAACACAAATTGGATAAAGGATATATTTGGGGCATAGATTGCAATGACACTTTCTGACAACCTATCCAAGTCTTAGGGATGAAAATATCAACCTGTGTTTTTTAAATGCTAATGGCTTAGTGGGCAAGAAGTGTGTGGAGGACCTGGAAGGAATTGATTAAAAGAGTCCTGCATTTTGTTCCTTATCAGGATGAGGATTTGCTCAATGGCACAGAGCATGAATAGTAACCTTACACAGTTTTCCAGAGATGCCATTGTACCAAGATTAGTTTACATGTGCAATGCAAACTTTGAATTCAATTCCTTTGGCTTTGCTTTAATTAGTTATTTCTGCTGGTTTACAACTCCTCAGCCCCTTCCCCTACCCTCACTGTGCTTCTCCTCTTAAGTTGAGCTCACCCACTAAGGTAACAAAGTTACGTTTCAAGATAGAAACTTCCTTAAAACTCCTCAGGGAAATTCTTCAGGTCAATTACTCTTAATGTATAAGAGAAAGCACACACACACACACACACACACACACACACACACACACCCCAACATATAGCTTTGCTGTTTGGGGCAGGGGGAATGACTAGTATGACTGCTGATTTTATGAGTTTTGTTTAAATTTTCTCTGTATTTTAAACATTCAAGATCACGTCATCTCTTTCTCTTTCTTTGTATGGAAAAATACCAATGGCATGATTCGGATTTTTTACTTGTATATCGCCATAAATTAAATGAAGAAAGGGTTGGCACTGAGTAAAATGATAACAAAAA